GTATCAAAGCTATACTATGGAACGCCTGGACTGTCTTATGTTAAGGATGAATGATATACCTGGTTAACTGTCTTTCTGTAGAGTCCGAGATACAAAATGCTGGGTGGAAATCCTAATGTGCTCAGTTATTGAAGTGCTATGTTGTGTGCCGACTGTATTTTATTCAGTCAAGTCAATGTATTGTCAGGTGCATTAGTCGTTCTGTTCAGTTCTTAAAACAAACAGGCATGTGGTAACACAATTATGTTGAGTTTAAAAGATATGTTGTTGGGTGTGACAGTTATTATGTTCGGTTATAATAATATGCTGTTTGGTGCTCTTCTCATCATGTTCAACCATGAAAATAAACAGTTGAGTGGTACTATAATTTTGTTTGGCTGAGGCAGTATATTATTGGGTGATACTTTTATTATTTTCAGTTGCAATGACATGCTGTTGGGTGTTTTATTCCTTCTGTTCAGTCGTAAAATAGAACTGTTAAATGGTACAATCATTATTTTAAATGGTACTATCATTATCTTGTGTGCTGATTATATCTTCTTCAGTCAAGTCAATGTGTTGTTCGGTGCAAAGGTCGTTATGTTCAGTGGTTTTTTGGTACTATCATTATGTTCAGTTCAGATGATAAACTGTTCGGTGCAGAGGTCATTATGTTCAATAGTGAACACAAACTGTTGTGTGATACCACAATTATGTTGGGTTCATTCGGATATTTTCGGGCAACAAGATGGGAGCGACTAATTTCTATAGGTCACGTCGAGGCTAATGACCACTAAATTGCCAAAACAATTTTTTTCGCTGTAAATATCATAGGGGGCTTAAGAACGTTATTTTCATAAATTGGACTTTTAAACACCCGATGGGTATTTTATTTAGTTAATTCATGACTATACTATACTGTTACAGTCATATTGGGTACAGTATATAAAACTTAAAATGTGGGTAAGGGTAGCCTGTTAAAGTCACACATGACCACCGTAAATAAAACTTAAAATTTATCTGTTTGGTAACCTATAAGAGTCACAAATGGACACAGCAAACGAAATTTAAAATATAAAACATCATATACAAGTAAGGGAACCCTTTTTGAGTCACACATGGCCACAGTATATGGAGCATATAAGTAAGGTAGCCTATTAAAGTCACATATGGCCACAGCATATGCAACTTAAAATATATGTGTTGGTAACCCATTTTAGTCACACATAACCACAATAAATGGAACATAATATTTAAGTAAGGGAAACCTATTTGAGTCACACATGGCCACAGTATATGGAACATTAAATATAAGTAAGGGTAGCGCAATAAAGTCACACATACCCACATTATGAAGAAAATTCTATATAAGTAAGGAAAACCTAATTGAGTCACACTAGGCCAAAATATATGGAACATTATATTTAAGTAAGGGAAATCTATTTGAGTCACACATGACTAAAGTATATGGAACATTATATATAAGTAAGGGTAGCCTAATAAAATTAGACTCAAATACATTTCCCTGACTTAAACATTATGTCTAATATATTGTGACCATGTGTGACTCAATTAGGTTTCACTTTCTTATATAGAATTTTCTCTATACTTTGGCCATGTTTGACTTTATTAAGCTACCCTTACTTATATAAAATGTTCCATTTACTGTGGTCATGTGTGTCTCAAATGGGGTTTCAATACTTATATTTAACGTTCAGTATACTGTGGCCATGTGTGGTTCAAATAGGTTTGCCTTACTTGTATATTATGTTTCATATTTTAAATTTCGTTTGATGTGTCCACTTGTGAGTCTAAAAAGTTACCAACACATATTTTATGTTTTATTTACGGTAGTCATGTGTGACTTGAACAGGCTACCCTTACCCATATTTTAAAATTTATATACTGTGCCCATTATGACTGTAACAGTATAGTATAGTCATAAATTAACTTGATAAAATACCCATTGGGTATTAAATATGCCATACGATCTGTCCAATTTATGGAAATAACGTTTTTAAGCTCCCGATGGTATTTACGGGGAAGAAAATTGTTTTGGCAATTTAGTGGTCATTAGCCTCGACGTGACCTATGGAAATTAGTTGCTCTGTTTGACGCGAAGATATCCGAATGAACCCAACATAATTGTACGACCACTCAGCGCATTGTCAAATGACTTGTGCACCGAACAGTATATCATCTGAACTGCACATAATGACGGTATCACACAACAATTTGTGTTCACTTCTGAACATAATGACCTCTGCACCGAACAGTATATCATCTGAACTGAACATAATGACGGTATCACACAACAGTTTGTGTTCACTACTGAACATAATGACCTCTGCACCGAACAGTATATCATCTGAACTGAACATAATGACGGTATCACATAACAGTTTGTGTTCACTACTGAACATAATGACCTCTGCACCGAACAGTACATCATCTGAACTGAACATAATGACTTCTACACCGAACAGTACATCATCTGAACTGAACATAATGACCTCTGCACCAAACAGGATATCATCTGAACTGAACATAATGACGGTATCACACAACAGTTTGTGTTCACTACTGAACATAATGACCTCTGCACCGAACAGTACATCATCTGAACTGAACATAATGACCTCTGCACCGAACAGTTTATCATCTGAACTGAACATAATGACCTCTGCACCGAACAGTATATCATCTGAACTGAACATAATGACGGTATCACACAACAGTTTGTGTTCACTACTGAACATAATGACCTCTGCACCGAACAGTACATCATCTGAACTGAACATAATGACTTCTACACCGAACAGTATATCATCTGAACTGAACATAATGACATCTGCACCAAACAGGATATCATCTGAACTGAACATAATGACGGTATCACACAACAGTTTGTGTTCACTACTGAACATAATGACTTCTGAACCGAACAGTATATCATCTGAACTGAACATAATGACGGTATCACATAACAGTTTGTGTTCACTACTGAACATAATGACCTCTGCACCGAACAGTACATCATCTGAACTGAACATAATGACTTCTACACCGAACAGTACATCATCTGAACTGAACATAATGACCTCTGCACCAAACAGGATATCATCTGAACTGAACATAATGACGGTATCACACAACAGTTTGTGTTCACTGCTGAACATAATGACCTCTGCACCGAACAGTATATCATCTGAACTGAACATAATGATAGTACTATTCAACAGTTCTATTTCACGACTGAACAGTCTGAATAAAGCACCCAACAGCATGTCATTGCAACTGAAAATAATAAAAGTATCACCCAATAATACACTGCCTCAGCCAAACGAAATGATAGTACCACTCAACTGTTTATTTTCATGGTTGAACATGATGAGAAGAGCTATTTTAACCGAACATAACAACTGTCACACCCTACAACATATCTTTTTAACTCAACATAATTGTGTTACCACATGCCTGTTTGTTTTAAGAACTGATCAGAACGACTAATGCACCTGACAATACATTGACTTGACTGAATAAAATGTAATCAGCACACAACATTACACTTCAATAACTGAGCGCATTTGGATTTCCACCCAGTATATTGGGATTTTGACCCAGCATATTGTATCTCGGACTCAACAGAATGACATTTAACCATGTATATCAGTCATTCTACACATAAGACAGTCCAGGCGTTCCATAAAATAAAATGATAGTACCACTCAACTGTTGATTTTCATGGTTGAACATGATGAGAAGAGCTATTTTAACCGAACATAACAACTGTCACACCCTACAACATATCTTTTTAACTCAACATAATTGTGTTACCACATGCCTGTTTGTTTTAACAACTGAACAGAACGACTTATGCTGCCGACAATACATTGACTTGACTGAATAAAATGTAATCAGCACACAACATTACACTTAAATAACCGAGCGCATTTGGATTTCCACCCAGTATATTGGGATTTTGACCCAGCATATTATATCTCGGACTCAACAGAATGACATTTAACCATGTATATCAGTCATTTTGCACATAAGACAGTCCAGGCGTTCCATACTATACGCCTTTATGTTACATGCTTTTAAATAATGTTTATCTCAACATAATGCATGCATACCTCTACATGAGACAATTTATTGGATTGAATCACCTTGCAACGCGGTAAATATTTACCATTCGTAGTCAATTAAGTTCACAAAAATAGATTATTTTATTTCAGATACGAAGGTGTAGTCTAAATATAAAAGAAGTCGGTTATACATTACACCTAACTGTATTCATAAATTTATACCTTAAAACTCATGGGACCTTCTCAAGATAATAAGTATTATTCCGTCGGCGAATTTCGAAACTAGAAGCGATTTCTTTCAATTTACTTTATTATCGTATATTTCAATTATATATGTGTATGTTAAAGGAAATGTTAAAAACGGTTTAAATTTCAGGATTTACTACTTGAAATGATCCACATAAAAGTAGGTCGCCTAACTAGTTTCACAATTCAGACGGATATAAAAACACAGACGTTCTAGATTTTAACTTCCAATCTCCTACTCAGTGACCTCCTCTAACTTCATCAAGATTTTTGACGATATGTTTTTTTTTTCATTTTTGATATTAATTTCAAATAGTAAACACGGTCCTGCTAATGTTTCAAATCCGTTAGATGTTAGATGTGAACTAAAATAAAAAAAATAATTTTGGAAACATAAATATTATGAAAATAATTTAAAAAAAAATTAATATCGCACCGTTTATTTTCAAAACAATGGCCCATCTCGAAATTAATTTCGATTCTACACTTAACAAAAATGATTTCTTTTCAAACATATCATATCACATTTGCTAACTGATCGAACCTTTGAAGTGAACCACCCAAAAGATTAATGTAATGTCTAATTTAGTATTGAAAGGGTCGAAAAGTTACAAAATAAAACAAATACGAGTATTCAAAATAACAATTTGCTGCAATTGACACTATATCACTTGGTATCCAGTTTTAAAAGCACCAACGTGCTGGGGCGTTGGTAAATATTACACCTGAATTTTTGGGTCTTTTCGAAATTATATTGGGGCTTGTCTACGTATTGGGTCAAGACCCAATATATGTTGGACCCAACAAAATTGTTTGTCTTAAATGTATCTGTCGGGCGGAACAAGTGTGCTCAACCTTTATTCTTAAACACACTTATTGGGTCTATGATTTTACAATTGGGTCGTCATATATAAAGTCACCGTGTTTAGTATATATTTATATATAATTTTCATATGTTTGCGCCTGTGCAAGTTGTTGGCAGGTGCGCATATGAGGTGCGCGCAACTTTTCGGTCCTTACTGTCAGTTTAAGGATAATAGCCGAAGACTTCCGGTTTGAAAACACGCGGGACGTAAACACTACTTCGAAGGTATGTTGGTTTACTTTTTTAAGCATAAAGACCCAAATAATGATTAATTATTATAACAAATATATCATTTAACATTACCAAAATGACGGACGGTGTCTCATATTCTCCTGTGTGATATATGTAAAATCGCGGTGTATATAAATTCGCGGATTTTGTTTACACTTGGATAATCTCGTAAAATCTCGTCGCACCTGCCCGACAATGACGTAATATTTCTCGCAAAATGTGTCTACATATGTTTCGTGTATCAAACCATCACAAATCACACAAAAATGGGCAGTTTATTGTTTATTTTCTAATAAGTATAAAAAAACATGATTTTACTTATGCCCAAATATCTACCTTATAAGTAATCCATTTTTATTTACTTAGAAAAGTTTGTCGAACAATTCCCAGTTCCGGAAATTTCTTCAAGATGTGAAGGTCAGTCGGCCATGCTTTTTTTCCCAAACCGAGGCTATGAATAAATTTACTGACCGATTTTGGATACCCATATCAGCTAACGCAAAAAGTGTCATTTCCTTCATTTAAAAATTAATTAGGTCTAACTTTAAGCCTATTTGACCAAAATAAAATTGACAGAATAACTTTTATGTCATCATCAAACTTTAAGATGTAATCACAGGTTTAGATTACAATGTGCAAGCACTTGACCTACTTAAATCTTTTGCCGGAAATGAGGGTCATATGGGGAGGTGAAAATCGAATTTATCGGCTGTTTTTGTTTTTTTTACTACTTACATGTTTACAAAATAAAACTGCAAATAAGAAATAGATATACAAAATCAACATTGTTCTGAAAAATTGATATTTTCTCAGTTTAAAGTGACTGGAATTTTTGTCATGTGCACTGATGCCGGCTCGCCACGGCGAGCCGGTATTACGGTAGGATTTTACTGAGAAACAACCTAAAACTCCGAAGCTATCCAAAAATTTAATCGAAGCTTGGCTTCCAGCTTTCTACAAAATTTATCTATCAGGGCTAGGATCCAAAATTATTTAGCCAATCAAATTTAATCTTACATAGCGTCAAAAAACCTTCAATTTTCACGCCATTTTTTAAAAATCAGCAAGTATTGTTTTGAGCGCAAAGATATAATGATGATTAAAATGTTTGTCTGTATGAATTCTTTTCAATAAATCATATTTACACTGACTTCTGATTTAGCGATTTCACCTGTTTTCTCTGTAGTAAGTTTTCGTTTGGTTAATTAACATAAGTGTACATCTGGTTCTGTGCATTTTTTATTTTTCCTTTTTTTCCGGTCATTTTATCCTTTCCGGTATTTAGTGTATGTATTTACTGGCCGGGATCCGGGACGCCCGGGATCCGGGATCGTATAAGATATGGAGGAAAATCCTAATGAACTATATTTGTGTTGATTGTTGTCGTAATGAAAGGCCATTAAACGTTAATTTTTTTATTGTATATAATGAACGTTAAATTAATTTAACTTAGAATATAGATATATTTAGAGCTATTTATTAACAAACTTAAAATGCGGAAATCACAATAGTTATAATTATATGCCTAATTAATTGGAAAAATCAAAGACTATTTTCTTGAATTGGTCAAATCCCGGGATCCCTGTATGTTTTAAAACGATCCCAGCTTTTCTGAAAACTATATACTTGAACTGGCCAATCCGTGAGATCTATTTACATTTTAATACGATCCCGGCTTTTCTGAAAACTATATTCTTGAACTGGTCAATGCCCGGGATCCCTATATGTTTTAATAGGATCCCGGCTTATCTTAAAAACATCTTCTTAGACTGGTCAATTTCTGGGATCCCTATATTTTTTAATAGGATCCCGGCTTTTCTGGCTGAATTGATTGACAACTTGTGTTTACTTTAGGACTTGTGCCTCTCATTCCAATACTAAATAACATACATGTATAACAACTTAATTTTGTATAAAGAGACATCTTTATGAAATCTACCTATCTAACATTTTGTGGTCAAAGTTAACAGGCCATAAAGTAAATGTGCAAAGACATAGGTTCTTCAATCTGTTTACATGCACCTTCATATATACTCATACTCATACTCATCTGAGAGAACTTTATATGTCACTTTCAGTCAATGAGTTTAAGATTTTGAATTTACTGGCCCGAATTCCAGTTTTGAATTTATTCTACTAAATAATTAACAAAATTTTCTTAAATTTACACTGGCCTGAACTTATATACACTGGCCATCGGGCACCGGGCCAGTGTTGACTTCACTTTTATTTTGTTGTTCGCTGAAGTCTCTTCAGCTAACAGAACTGTCATTTTTACATTTAAACACACCCCTTGAAAAAAATTACGAAGCGAGTCGCTACTAGCTTTTTTAAAAGCTAACCTTGTTTGACCTACAATGACGTATTTGTAGTCGTCCGCGAATTAACATACAGTTCCAATAAGGCGGCGGTCATGACAGACGCTTATTATTTAAAGTTACCACTGACAAATACGAGTGTAAGTTGGTGAAACTTGAACTGACTTGAAATTGAAAAAGGCCAATTGTAAGCAAACATTAGGTGTATAATTTATTATTTATCTTTTTTCCACATTATTTCTCACAAATGTGCCTAATACCGCGAATATACATCAATCGAGGATTCTTGTGAACAATAACTTTCATGTTTTTGACCAATGCACCACATATTGTTATTCAAAGAAGATAAATTATCATTTCACTTACGATGTTTATGAACAAAGTCGCTCAGAAACTCTGTATTTTGTTTATTTTTACTCAAAAAAGGAGGCAACAAATGTGATTAATTTCATGAACAAATTAGATGTTAAATATTTATACGTGAATGTCGTCGCACAGTAGCAGCGTAAGTACAAAATTAAAGGATCAAGTCATTTCGTAACCTTGCCATTTCGTAACCGACAAAATCGGTCAATTTGTAAATTAATCTTTCCTCAAATTACATACAATTTTCAACAGGCTGGGAATTTAAATAATTTGCAATTAATTATTTGCCAATTGGTCTACTATAGCTCAATTGGGATATTATAGCTCATTGTTGCTGCAACCAGGCAGAGACATATAAATACAGAGATTGGAAACGCAAATAGCAAATGAAAAACTACAACAAGAACGTCAAATTACAAAAACGCATCAAACGAGACGAGAGCATGACAAATGTCTCTGTCTGAAAGAAAACAAGATGACTTAATCGAAAGTATTACAAATTCGTAGAAACATTTTCTTTTTAGCTTTATATGTTTATGTTAGCATTTGTAAAAAAGTCTGTTTCAATTGTCGTTTTAACGGTCTTCCGCATATCTTGTTTGCGGCTAAATCTCACAAACGTCTGCCTGATAGGTCACGTGACAAGTAAAATAGTCTTAATCAAACAAAACGCTTTATCAACATAAGTTATCGATCCTCACGAGAAACTATGGGATTACGGACAGTTTCTAATATCTGTATTTATATGAATCTGACCCAGGGATGCTGATGAAATGCATCAAATTGCTTTAAAAATAGAAATCCATATGAATTATCTTCTTTGTAATACTTATATTCAAAATATGTGAAGATACATTGTTTTATAGACAAGTTGTAATAATAATTCCTCATTTTCACCCAGCTTTCCTAGGCACAGCAACTTGGAAGGTGTGCAATTTAACAAGTATTACTTATCAGAAGGTTCTTGTGTTGGAAACATTCAAAGCATACTGCAGACAGTAGCTTCTGAGTAACTGTCTGTCTGTATAGAAAAATCATGTTTTTCTTTGCTCTACTGAAAGCCCAAATGAGCAAAAAATAGCCCGAACAAGCTATATACTGTAGCCTTATTTGCAATATTCCCTAGCCTGATCAAATCTCATACAGGTAAAGACAAAATAAACAACCTGGGCTATAGACTAGACGTTTGCATTTAAAAGGAAACCAAATAAAAAATGATAGGAAAATATATATATTTCTATTAGTACAGCGTTACACATCTGTGGATGTTTCTAATTTCAAATTTCACCATTTTTCTGTTTTTATGTTGAATCTGCATGAGCTGGTGCTAGACAGAGCTGACAGTAAATTGCGCATTACAAGAATTTTTTTATGTATTGCAATTTGAAACTTTGAAAATAATTTCAGTTATTATAATCAAATTTTATTTCAGTGCATAATGCCTTCATTGAGGTCAAAACAGAGCACAAAAGCAAGACAAACTGTCCAGTTATCAATCAAATTTATTGACACATACATAGGTGAGTTGTTGTTGTAGTTTTTGTTTTCAGTAAGATGGTCAAATTGGCCCGTCCCTGTTGGTCATAGATTTTCCTTATATGTATATATTAAAAACTTAAAAAACTTGTTTTAAAAAACCCCAAACACTTAAGCAAAGATATTTAGTATGACACATCATCTAGTCAGTGTTTAATAAAAGCCCTTGGGTCAAAACTTTAGGTAATTGATTTTCCTTACATGTACATTTCTTTTGCAACTGTTGTATTAACACATGCACCATTTTAGATATCAATATGAGGTTTGTATTTGGTTGTTTGGGCGGTGGGGAGGTAATGTTGCCTTTCCTTTGTTGATCTTTATTCTTGTCTATTTTTGAAATAAATTTGAAGTTTAGATTTCATATCTCCTTTTGTTTATAGTTTAAAATATTACTTGTTCCTTGTCATTTAGAGTTTTATATTCAGGTGTGCGATATCAGGGCCATAATGACCCTCTTGTTGAATCTGGCCAGCAAGTTTTTTCATAAAGGCTTATTTGGCCAGACATTCAAATTGAGCATGGCAAAATACCTGCTCTACAGTAGACCTAGATCAGTTTATAGATCACCTGTGCATTTTGTTTTAGCTTGATAATACATTTATGTTCACATCTTAGATCTACAAGTATGTAAGTTCTCCATCTAGTACTTGATACTATGGTGTTGCTTTCAGGATCGGGCGTTTTTGCTGAAGAGGACATAGAAAAGGGAACTTTTGTTTGTTTCTATGAGGGTTTGCTCCTTTCTGGTGAAGAAGGATTGAAAAGATACAGCAGTGAACAACAAATTGTAGGGAGTTTCCTGTTTTTCTTTCGACACAAGGGACAAGAGTTTTGGTAAGTTCCTGTTGTTTACATATCCAGGATCCATAGTCCTATGACAAAGCCTTTTTCCTTCATAACAAGGGCCAATATTCGGCCCCTTCACAAATCAAAATTACACTTTCTTCACAAAGTAGCGGAAAAGAATCACAATTTAAAAAATGATTTCTTAAAATATAAGGACTTTGACTTCCAAACTCATTGTTTACCTTCCAGTAAAACTTGATTTTTGCAAGTTGCAAACATGTAAATAGTTTTGATTGAATTAAATGATATTTGTGCATGATTATCCTATTAAAGTATCAACTCCAAGCATATTTTACACATGCCGGAAATTATAATCAAGGGTTCATCTCACACTTTTGGTGTTTCAAAATGTCGCAGATGACATTAATTTAATCAGAAGTGTAGATAACAGTACTAAGGTTGTAATTACAGCCAGAAAAAAGCAGGGTTACGGCCAAATTTTGAAAACTGGCCGTACAATTATGCCCAAGAATAATCCAGTATGCGCAGAAAAATTAAGGGTGGTAGTAACAATGCTTGGCATTAAATTATGATATTTCTTTAACTCATCATCTGATATTTATTGTTTACTTTTAAAAGCAATCTGTCCTACTTATTTTTGAAGATTACACACGTGAAATAAATATGACGTAAACTTCTGGTCGAGCTAGAAATAGACGGAATAAAATTTGTGCAGTTTTCACTAAATTGTACCTCGCTCGGCGTATGGCAGAAAACCTGTAACAAATGTTTTTGAAAAAGTAAATCATATATTAGAGACACTCATACAAATTAAACATAAAACCAATGAAATATTAAAGTAGTATTTTGTATTTATTTAATAATAAAGTTTAAAAAAGCCTATATTGTGTGCGGTTTTGTGGTTTTATCCGGTTTTATCCAATCAGCAATAACAATTAAGTTTGATTATAATCTTATCATTTAAATTAAAGCCAAAAGAAGCCCTCCTGTATATTGGTTTTGGTTGCAGGGATAATCCTGACCAGCAAATTCTATGGGAGAAAATCTCCCCCATTAATCAAATCAATGGGATTTTTTTCAAAATAGTGAGATTTATATTTTTGCTAAAATATCGAAATTTAAGTTACTAAAAATTTAGATCAGCTGTAAAACAAAACTTTATTAATAACTACAGTTAAATTGCATATAATATCAGAACATAAAAGTACACTCAGGTACTAGGAGATTGAATTAAGTCACATTGCTTAGTCGTATCAGAAATGTTAATTTACACGGATTGTAAACTAGTATGAAATTTCAACACTGTCATGTCATTTAAAAGTACTTGCATGGACGATTGGAACGTCCACAGCTTGTTAGTCTGAGGACATTCAGACAATATAATAATAGATTTTCCAAAAGGTCATACATAACTTTAGAAAAAAAAGCTACAGATATTAATAAAAAAATAATGAATCCAGAATGATGTCATTTATATGCCTCTCAGTTTTTCAGTTTGATTTGCCTGCTTTTTTCTTCGAATTATAATGCGCGGTCTTTGCACAGGACATAATATTCACGTATGTTGATTGTTGTAAATTAGATGAAAGTAGGGGACGAAAGAAATCATTACTTTTTAACTAGTTAATACAGTGTAATATGCCGTTAATTTAATTAAGTATAACTCGTCGACAAAAAACATTATTTTTACTTAAAAATACCGTTACAGTTATATTTATATCTGCTCTCTTTAATTTTGACAATCATTTGAAAGTGAAGATTTTATTGACGTTTGATCCCTCCTCCATCTTGCGTAATTGTTTGTTATATGTTAGCGATTTATTTGATTGGTTTAATAATGTCACTTCGATTAAAACAGGAACTCTGATTGGTTTCTCGCATTAATCGGTAATCTCGCAACACGTGGGAGGAGTCAAATTGTTCCCTAAGTGTCTGTTAATTACACTTTATGACATGTTGGTAAACAAGCGGATTAATGACATTTCGTGTTAATTGAGATGCATGACAGTTCTTTATTCGACAAGGGTAAACAAAGCAAACACACACGACCTGTCATTCACAATTAAAAACTAGGTATTAACATATTTTCTGAAAAATTACCATGCGATTTTTTCTCGCGGATACTTGAAAACAATGCGATTTTTTTTATTTTTACAGCGAGAATCTCGCAAAATCGCCGGTGTTTGGCAAATCCCTGTGGTTGGAATAATCATTTTCGCAAAGCGTAAGATAACTAATGACATCCAATGCAGTGTTGTGTACATGTGTTATACAAATTGAGAACAAATATGCATATTAATATACATTGGTTATACTCTGTGTTTATTTCTAATATAAAAACCCTCCTACTCCAAGTATATGTAATTGTTGTAAATTACTGTCTTGTTCACTTTAATCTGATTTTTACTGTCTGTTTGCAAAATCTGGAGTAAGTTTTTCTTAAATTTCCCTTTTTTACTGGCCCAAATTTTGGGAAAAATGGGTTAAACCTTCCTAGCAAAAAAAATTTCCATGGTCTGTTTTGGGTGGGATTTGCGAAAAAATCGGGTAAAGCAGTCCCAAATTTGGGCGGGTCCCCGCGTTGGTTTTGGGGTTGCAAGTTCTCGGAAAATATGAAGGGGAAAGGATTGAAAATTTTTTCATTTTCTTTGATTAAACTAATTTTTAGGACAAACCCCTTTAAATCGGGTTTTTTTTTTTTTATTTATTTGCCCCTTTTTTTTGACCCCTTTGAAAAAATGATTTCTTTTTTTGGGGGTAAATGGTTTCTTCAAAATCCGAAGGGTTTTTTTTCCCCTTTTTTGGGGGGGTTTTTTTGCATTATAAAAATGCCCGTGATTTTTCTTGTAAAAATTTAAAAACAAAACTATATACTTTTTTGGAAATTTTTATTATATTGTAAAAATTATTTTTATTCAATGAAACGCGCTTTAACTGTCTGCCTTACAGTTTTTTTGTTTTAACATTTTTTTTTTTGAGATTTTCCCCGCTTTTTTTTTCAAAATGAAAGAAACCCTTTCTTATTTTGACTGTGTTGGGACCACATTTTGGGTTTTTAAAAAACAAGGTAACCAAATTATTTTGGTTTCCGGGACAAAATATCCACTCTGTACAATATGCTTTTAAAAAAAAAAGGTTCGTTTTATTGTAAAAGGTAGACAGAAATTTGTTTAATACCTGTTGGCTTTTTGGAAAATTATTTATAATTCTGATTTTTTTTACCCTGGCCTTGCAGGTATTACATGTATTTTACTTACAAATTTTTTCAGTTAAATCAATGGCACCATAATTCTTTTTTAAAATTATTTTCTAACCACAAGTTCAGCTAATTTTGGTTGATAAATGATTGCACTTCTTTTAATCATTTTAAGAGCTTTATAGACTGCTTCCCTAAGAAAAAATTCTTTGAAATGCATACAGTTGAGTTTTCCCTAAAAATTGAATATATTGTCAGAGTTTTTCTTCCCCAAAATTAAGGGCTTGGCTGCTTCCCCAAGCTGTGAAAAAATCCCTTGCTGTTTAAAAGTACTACATTGATTATTTGTTTTTCATTTCACAATTAATTGTGAAAAATTTGTCATTTTCAAGCTAACTGCTAAATTTTGCTTATTTTTTTATACAGGAATTACAGGGTAGAACCAAGAAATCCCCTGGGAAATACCATGTCAACTCTGTCAGTCTGCTGATTTTTTTTTCTTCTTTCAGTATTGATGCAACTTACAGCCAGGGATATGGCAGAATGATTTAAACGATTTTTTCGGCAAAAAAAAACTTTGTAAGGGTGGTTGTCGAGCAGGGAAAAAAGAAAATTTAAACTGGCTTTTTTTACCATTAAAAAATCAAAAAAAGGCCCGGAACTTAATTTTTTTAAAGGGCAAAATGACCTTGGCCCCCAAAATAGGGAAAATTTAAAAATACAAATGTATAATTTTATGAAAGGTTAAGATACATTGCAAAGGGAAATTTTTTTGTTATTTGGGCCCCGGTTTGTTTTTCCCCATTGAAAAAAATATCTTTTCCAAAACCCCAAAAGGGAAAAAAAACCCAAATTTAAGTTAAAATGAAATTTTCTTAAAAATTTAAGTTTTAAAAATAATTTCCCAAATTTTTGATAGGATTTAGATTTTTTATTTTTGGGGGCATTAACCCCACTTTTGGGTTTTCTATAGGTTTTTTCCATGGACCCCAAAATTTTTGTTTTATTAAACCCCCCCCCCCAATACAGACATTAAGAAACTGTCTATGATTTTTCCAATATGACTGGCAAAAATCACTTTGTAAGGCTAAAACGGGGCGCGTTTGGTCCAGTGGTAGCGCGTTCGACAGAAGATCGAAAAGGTCCCTGGTTCGAATCCTACCTGCCTAACGTGAATTTTTCTTGGGCACAGAAATGAATCTCCGAGGGCTCCACTGACCAAGGTGTGAATTGGTACCCTGAGAGGGCGATGTCTGTGCATTGTGCAAGTTCGAAATTCCCGGGCGCCGTATGTTGGCTGCACTTCAAAACTGGGGGACAGGGGAAGTTAATGTCAAAGGGTTGGCTGAACGGCTGAATAGCTGAAAGCGGCCCTACCAAAGACTGGTAATTTTTTTTTTTTTTTTAAACATTCCATCGGGTCAGACACACACCCTTGTAATTGTTGGAGGATGAAAAACGATAATTATTGTCAAGCCAACTTGCGCTGAGTTATACTTAGTTGCCACTTTGGCATATTGTTTTGGTGGTATGTGCATCTTTAAGTCAGGATTTGTTCATTCTATATCTTGCTCATTACTTGAAGGATGACAAAATAAATTTGGTGATAAAATGTTCACCATCATTAGGATGGTGTCTCACACACAAAACCCAGGTCCGTACCTCTAAGGTCAAAGTCTCACTTGGGGAGTCAGTGCTGCAAATCCGTGTCTGGAGCGTAACTCCCACTTGCATGGAGGGATTTAAATATAACTTCGGACAAATGTTCGCCATAGCAAGGCGGGAGTGTAGTGCTAAAAATTCAAGTGTCTGTGGTAAAGGTCAGGTCACATTTATGCGTCTTAGGTAAAAAAAACAACAACAAAATAAATCATTCATTTTGAGAATATAATTTCTATAATACAGGGATGGATTTAAATATAAATTAGTAGAATTATTCTCCATGTTGAGTTGAGTTGTCTCGTTGTTAAATAAATTGGCCCTTTGGACCTCTTTCCCTTTTATTGTCATAATAGCTCCTTTCATGTTGCCTTTTGCTCTTGTAAAATGCCCCTGGAAAGTCAAATATGAAAACACAATATGTCACAAAGTTTCCGTCTGTTTGTAAGGTGAAACAAACATATTTTATTTTAGCCCCAATTTCATTGCATATATTTGTCCAAGTATTGTCAAGATTAGAAAATAATAAATAGAAATAGCTTAAATAGGTCAGCATTTTTCCCCGTATTTGGGAACATGATCCATACCCATAAGATTGGGAATTTCAGCGGTTTTTGTTAAAAATTTTGGAAAAAATGCATGACAGTTATTTTATAATTGAATAAATGAAAACAAGCAATCACTTTCTAGGATAGCAAGTTCAATCATTTTAACACTGTATCAGTGATGTAGTCCATGTTTCAAACATTTTTAGAGATTTTTTATTCAATTTTTTAATTTGTTGTTCTTTCAATTGGAAATTTTTTCTTGTGAATTGGGAAAAAAAAAATACTATTTACAATTGGGAATATGACCCAATATCGGCTATTAAAAATAAGCCTCAAAAAAAATCCCTGTAGGTTTCTAGGTACTAATTCAGATCGGCAAATATACAATGTAGGACCATTGTGATCATCTTGTATAAGGGAAAAATAATATGTATCCGAGTTGTTAGTTAGACAGATATTTAAATACATTGCTAGGATTTAGAGATATATTTGTTGGGTCATGACCCAATATTTAGGTATGCTATTCAGTGATCCAGATAAAGTTAGCCCAGGGCCAGTAAAAGTCACAGATAACCAGGAAAATACACCCATTGAACCTAAAACATTACAGCAAAAAGTTTTTTTTGTAAAAAAATGTTTTCCAAAATTTAATTTTTCTGGTTTTTGTGATCCCTTGGGCGCCCGCTACCGCAAAAAAAAATGAGCTAGAAATTTCTTTATTGCCAAAAAAATTAAAAACCAAAACAATTTTTGCAAAATTTATTCCCCTCCCCCTTGTTTTAAAGGGGTGTTAGAATTTTCAAAAAACCAATTACTTCTCTCATATAAGCGCCCCCTTTTGACGCCCGTTGAAAAAATTTTTTTTGTCCCTTAAAAAAAATTGTTCTAACTGGCTTTTTTTTTTATCCAAAACGAAACTATATTGAATGCTTTTTGCCGCTTTTGGTTTTTGGTTTCGTGTTTAATTTAAAATTTTTCTTTTCCTTTTCGAACACTTTGGGCTGACGTTTCCCGGGAAAAATTTGGGGCAAAAAGGAAAAAGGGTTTTGCGGTTTTCTTTCCAAAAAAATTTGGGAAAAGAATGGTTGTAAAAAAACAGGTATCTTCAATGTTTAGGGATCTTTTGGGGGCCTTAATTTTTAAAATTGAAAAAGTTTTTTGATTTTAAATTTAAACAATTTTAAAATTTTTTTTTATGTAGCCGGGTTGGTTTCTTTTTTTGGGGTTTAACCCTATACTATTTATTTGCGGAAAAAGGGGCTGTTTTAAAAAAATTTTTCAGGCCTTTTAGGTTTAACTTTTAAAAAGTTTCTTTTTTTTTTTTAGGGTCAGTGGGTCCTTAAAAAAAACTGTTTCTTTAAATATTAAAAAAAATTTTAAAAAAATTTTAAAAACAGCACGCCTCCGATTTTCCCAAATTTTTTGAAAAATATTGAAAAATTTTTGTTTTTTAAGTAAAATTTCTGAAATGAAAAAAAGAAGGTAATTTCCCTGCGTCGCACCCCTTAATAATCCATGGGAAAAATTTCAAATTTTTGGGGAAAAACATGGCCCCAAAATTTGCCCCAAATGCTTAGTTAAAAAACCAGTAGAAATTTGGGTTTACAAAAACTGCAAAAAAGGGGCATTTTAATTTTATTTCAACAAAAATAAAAATTTCCCCCTTTTAAACTATTTATTTTTTCCTTTTTTTTTGGTTTTCAAATTTAATTTTTTGCTATCTGGGCCTTTCGTTTTTTTTTGCAATTAAAATTTTTTTTCTCCCTTGGTGGTTTAAAAGTACCGGGAAATTTTGTTTTAATGGGGCAAAAGTGTTAATAAGCGCATTTCTAAAAAAAATAGTGACGTTTCCCTTTTAAAAAAGATCTTTTGTGTTAACACGCTCCCCAATCAAAAACTGAGTCTTCTCTTGGTGTTCTTCGGCGTATCGTGTTCTAAGTTTTTTAAAAACGATTTGGGGTGTTACACCATAATTGCAAATTTTTGAGGTTTTTCTTTCGAATTATTTGTTTATCCTAAAAAAGGACTGTTTGTACATCAAGTCAATAATGACTCAGTTTGGTGACAATTATTGAGAGGTGCTAACTTCTCTCTGGCAGTGTATGAAAAGCTTCTAACTTTTCCCATGATTAAATCGATTAATACGTAGCGTGTTTGACAACTGTCGAAATAAGATGAGTTTAAACTCAAAAAATCGAGTTTTTAAAGAGAAATATTCTCAACTTGTCATCACCTTCTCAAACATGGTCAACACCTTCTCAAACAAACATTTCCCAATACCTGGTCAAGCTGTCACCGGTAATTGACACAAAATGCAAAAACAAGCATTGTTTAATTGTCAAACTCGCTAAAACATTTGTTAACTGCCGAATAATAAAACATGGTTTATACAGTAAAACTCTTCAATATCAGGCAGAGTTTGAGTCACAAAACAAGGAATCGGTCTATGAGCCGGGGGAAGATAACTCGCCTCTTAATTTACAATTCAGTCTTTCGAAACTTAAATCTTGCTTAAATGCGAGGCGAGATTCTGCCGCGGGCAAGGATGTGCTTTCTTACCAGATGTTCAAGCACCTACCAGACAGCGTGCTTGAAATATGGTTAAGGCTATATAATAGGGTGTGGTCTGAGGGAATATACCCCAATGCTTGGAGGGAGGCCACTGTCATTCCTATATACAAATGGCAAAAATAAAAATGAACCAAAATCATATAGACCAATAAGCCTTACATCTCACTCAGGGAAATTGCTTGAGGGAATGGTCAAGGCACGTTTAGAACATTTACTAAAATCAAAAAATATAATAAACCCCTTTCAATCTGGCTTCCGAAAGGGCAGGAGCACTTTGGATCAGCTGGCTGGACTGCAGCATGACGTGACCTATGCAAAAAACAGATCACGCTCAGTGCTAGCAATTTTTCTGGATCTTGCTGCAGCTTTTGACCTAACATGGCATTTCGGAGTTTTATTTAAACTAAAAGAATATGGAGTGACAGGGTCCTGCTTCCGGTATATTAGGTCCTTCCTTGAGGGCAGAAAGATATCGGTCCGGGTAGAAGGGTTTATGTCTGACCTTGAGCCTGTGGAGCGGGGCACTCCGCAAGGCTTGATCCTCTCACCGTTGCTTTTCTCTATCATAATCAATGGTCTACCAGAGGCTCTCTCTGGCTCTGGTATGGTTATTAGCCAATTTGCTGATGACTCAAGCTGTTGGAAGACAGGGTCCAATTTGGTAAAACTAGCCCAATGTGCACAGGCTGGCATGGACTCTCTATGGGGATGGGCAAAAAAATGGGGATTTCAAATTTCTGAGACAAAAACAGTAGCAATTTTATTTGGAAATCT